CTTCTGGTGAGTTAATGGTTCTTGAATGAGCCTAGGCCTTCCTGCTAGTTTATGACAGTCTGTTCTGTAAGGTTTCTATTAATAAAGGAAAAATTTTATCCGCAATGCATCATAAAAGACTTTCCATAAGAGGTTAAATGTTTACAAAACGCTGTTCAAACGAACAAAACACAAGAAAAAAGGGTTAGTATTTTAAACCCCTCTTACACTGTATTCTGTCGTGAGCTGCCCTGGAGGGTTACGCGTTGATGCAAGATAATTATTTCTTAGCTGTGTGGCTGTCATATTTATATTTCTCTTATTTCGTTTGAAGGTCCTGGACAAGGGATTCTGCAGCCATCATTTTCCGCTGGAGATTTCCGTTCCTATAAAAGTACCCCCCACAAATCGTCAGGGGAAGAAAATATGGCTGAAGAGATAGCTTACATAGAACGTAGCCAGGCAGCAGGGGTGTATTCATGTCCTCAAGACGGCTGCACTCGTGTTTTTCAAAGGCTTTCAGCCTTAGAAAAGCTCTTGTTACTTGAGAAATGCACCAGGGTACCAGAAAAGATTCTGTAATGGACTTGGCAAAAATTGACTACAAATCATATTTGGAGGAAGGTGTGGGAAAGCTGCCATCGCTTCAAGCCCCTGTACGACGGGAAGATTCTCGTGTTTCTCTGAAAGAAGGATGGGCTCTTAGAGAAGTAAGGAAGGCTTACAGGTTCAGTGAAAAGCAAAAGTCGTACCTTTTATCTAAATTTCGAATAGGGCAGACGACAGGTCACAAGCTTGACGCAGAGGTAGTTGCTCGAGAAATGCGGCGTGCCCGGGGCACCGATGGTGCACAACTATTCCAGTCATCGGAATTTTTCACAACCATCCAGATCTCCTCCTTCTTCTCAAGACAGAGTGCCTTAGTACACCAGAGAGATCCTGATGAGGCTGATATCCGAGCAGCTCAAGAGGAGAGTAATTTTAGCGAGGCAAAGGAGACTGTCGCGTCAATACAACTTGACCATCCCCTGATCTACGATCAGTACGATCTTTGTGTAATGGCGCTCGATGACTCTTTGAAGATCTTGAAGCTACCCATGTTGCAGCACATGTGTGAAGACCTTAGCCTCGATATACCACCAAAGCCCATGACCCTCACTTTCCTTTTCTGGTCTTCACATCGGTAATGAAGTTTACTCATCTGGTAGGCGACACATGCAAACTGACAGACGTGAGATCATTCAACCTACATTTCTTTCCGCTCATTTTGAAACGCGGGATTTCTTTCTTTAATTTAACGACATCATTATTTCATTTGCGGTTTCTACGCGGGTATGTTTCAGCACCCCCGACATGTTTCCAATGGCGTTACGTTGCATGACATTGATAATCACTAGGATAATAAGAACTGTCGCCTTGCATTTAATTACTTTGAAGGTCAAAAGTGGCCTTTCCATGTATTTATACCTACAGAAAATGAGTTCTCAAAGTAAAAGATAAAAAAATATCTAATTTATCAGCATGGAATCAAGTACTAATCTACTAAGTAGCATCTCTCGAATGTATCTTTTGCATTACTTGAATGTGAGATGGTGCTAATGTAATATGCACTTCACTTGCAGGTTTTTAGCCAAAAAATATTTTGTAGAACCTTTTCAAATATCTTACGGAATAGTTTACTTGTCACTTTAAATTTTCCAAGCTACAAACCGACACAGCGGAGGCAGGATTTAATTTGGAGATTTAACAACTCAATATGATTAAATTACCTTGTTGTTTGATACACACTTTGCATCATTTAGCTCGCTCGAGTCACAAACATTTCTGCTATTTTCGAAGGGAAGCAATGCGATTCCGAGTATCACACTTTCCACAGTGAATGGAAAATAGCAGTATTTCACGAATATGTTGTGGAAAATCTAAAATATGTGGTACCAGGTACATTTTTTTCGCGCGAAATATCACCGGTTTTTTGCCGCCATTTTACGCGGTCTGTGAGGATGTTCTTTCAAGGGCTTAAGTAATCCCAAAATGGATGTGCCCAAAAAAATTTACTCACTAGAATTGAATGAGATTAGCTGTCCTAATGTCGTGTGAAGTTTGGTGTTGATTGATTCCATTTTAATCCTTAAACGGGGGTTGGTTTTTGCAGTTAATTTTTGATTGTGCGTCATGTGGAGCCTGAGCTCCGGAAGCCTGTAAACACACCTCGTCTTGCAATTCTGATGATTAAAGTTTTCTGGGGTTATTGAAATGTCAGTCCCATACAGGAACCTTCTACATGACCTTTATAGTGGTGTGCCATGAGATAACTTTAAAAAAATGCCACATAAGGCACAAAGTAAGAATGTAAATGCCTCAGCTTAATAGGTTACAAATTACAAAAAGAGAGAGTTGTGCAGACCATAACTTACTTTTTATCCTCCTTTGGATATTTATCCAAATAACATAGTCACTAACAGTCTCATACTCTCTCAATTTCCACTCAGCTCGTGGAAAGATGAAAACCTAAGACTGCCCTCTTACCACAGATAGTTCTTTTGGGCATCATCAGTACAAACCTGGTCTAATTTGTACATTAAGGTGATTGTTCCAGGTAGGCTAATCCTAAAAGTTAGTTGTGAAAATTTCTCGAACCTGTCGTCATATGAATGTTTGACTCAATTTTACCTCTACAGTTTAGAGGAAATCTGGATATGTTTTCAAACCCAGGATTCTGACTGCTTTTAATGACTTTATTATGTGCCATTAAGGTACACAGGCAGGTGTTTCTAAAGGAGTTTGCTTAGCTTTTTCATTATGGTACATTTTTTTTCTAAGAATCTTGTGTATCTGGCCTATTCTGAATTCTAATTTTTCAACCAAATTTTCTTCTGTTTTGTAAATTCATTCAAATGATATTCATTCAATTAAAATCACTGCATGAAATCCTGCAGATGTATGGCACATTATTTTTCCTCTGGTCCCTCTAACATTTCCTCATATGTAAGGACTAATATTGGCTATAAAATTTAAGTCAAAATAAAGTTTTGTGCACAGCCTATGCATCAAATTTTTATAACAAAATATTGTATCCTTGTAAAAACTAGTTTATTGAAATGAGAACGAGTTACCAGGCACAAGTATGGCTTTCACAATGATGGTTTCCACGTTTGAAAACATTCCCAACAGGAGCAAGTAGCTAATTAATGATACAGATAAGAGAGCTTATAAGTCACGCTCAATAGAACATAATTTCAACTGATTGTTGACATCATACACTTTATCTGAACAAGAAAAGATTTCCTATCTCCAAAAACCTGCTCAAAACCATTGGAACAACGACGAAGGTCCTAAGCTGTCTAAAGATACCGCTGACTAGCGTAAGTGGTGATCGCTTTGCAAGTTATGAGAACATCGTCCCTAAGTTCCAGACCTCCTCAGGTCTCTTATTCCTTTTGAGAAACTCTTCTACAGCCTGTTCTGAAGAGTTTTATTATAGTTTGTATTTAGTACAATGAAGGGCTGAAAAATAAACTAAAAGGAGCTCCGCTTTAAGGCGTGCCTAAATATATACACTAAAGCTACTTTAATAAGTTTTTTAACTACTCTAACCAACTCAGTTAGCTTGTGCAGTTTAATCGAAGGTAGTTTGATCAATTGAACTACTTCAACCAATTTAGACAGATTATGCAATTGGTGCTGTTTAACTGTCCTCCCACTTGTTAACCAGTTTAAAATTTTACGCTAGTTATGCATTTTGTCCCGTTGAACCATTAAAGCTAGCATGACCATTTGAACAACTTTAACCAATTTGGATAGATTGTGATATTTGTGCTGTTTAAATGTCTGCTAGTTTCACTACTTAATTAATCAAGCTAGTTTTACCATTTTCACCAAGTGTGCCCGAATTTGCATCAAATTTGCTTTTATGCAGTTTACCCCTTTTCAGGTAACTTGACCATTTTCTACAGTTGAAGCAATTCAGCTAGTTTAAGGCTTTTTTGCAGAGTAGTTTTATCTAATTTGACCTTTGTAACCAGTTGAGTTAATTTAACAACATTTTGTAGCTTGTGAAGACTAATTTTTTATGTAATTTGAGCATTTTATCTATACGAGCCATTTTAGCTCATTTAACCATTTGATGCCAACTGAGGGAAGTCAACCAAACTTCTGCACCTTCTGCATCTGACCTTATTTCACTTCTTTGATTATTGAAACCAGTTGAACCAATTCAATAAAACTGCGCAAATTGCAAAATCTATCTTAAATGGTCGAAGTAGTTGAAATGATCAAAGAAATTTCAGTAGTTCAACCAGTTGAGTAGTCAAAGTAGCGAAGACAGTTAACCGCAAATATTGCAAAATCTACTGAATTCGTTGTAGAATTCGTTCAAATGGTCAAACCAGCCAATATGAATATTGGACAGAATGCAAAACTTGATTAAATGGTTCAACAGCACAATCTAGCTTAGTGGTTCAACTGAGCAAAATGTATAACTAGCTTAACTGGTTATTGGTTACGCTGTATATAAGCGTCCTATACTACTAACCAATTGAACTTATTTGTCCATTTTGTCTCCATAAATTGGGAATAATGCATCGACGATCCCCAAATAACAATTGTAGAGTGCGTTGGTGCTAACTCATAAGATGGAAAAATGCGTTGCTTCATGATTACAAAATCAACAATGGTCGTAATTATCAATTTGCAAAATTCTCATTTATTGAATTTGTCCTTACTGACAAAAGAAGTCTTTCAGGCCAAAATCGGTCAGTGGCAGATCCTCCAGTGTGTAGTAGCCTAGATTTGGTACCCCTAGATTCAATTTGTTTACGTTACTCTGAGTAGAAATCTTTAAGTGTGCATATAGACTCTGAAATATATAGTTTAATAAAATAAAGAAAGTACTGTAAAATTAATAATTTTGACTATTCTTTACTGGTTTTGTGCTTTCTCTCTCTTGTTAATGCCACTGTTCCATCGTGAGCAATGCTTGGGCCTGATGATAACCATGATAATATGCTAAAACATGGCACCCATTTCAGCTTGAGTATGGCAGATTTCTTTAAATCAAGATGTTGATTCTAAAAGATCATGGAAGTAGAATGATAGAATGGTAGGATGAACTAAGTAGCGAATTTGGCATGTAAGTAGTGAACATGTAGCAAACTCGAACATAGCGTACTTGACAAGTAGCAAAACTGGCTGTTACCAAATGCCCCACTAATTTTATAGAACTTAGCTAAGTCAAAGCAGACAATCTGAAGTAGGCAAGATGGGCCCATTTTGCCGGCTCAGGTAGCCTATCAGAACACTGGATGCATTTCATATTGCCTACAAGCACTGCCAGCAATGTAAGAAACAAAGATATGTTGATGTTGAAGTTTATTTTATCATTTATTATATCTCCATTTTCCTCAATTTTCATTATAATTGTGCATTAATATTTATGAAGAAAGAAAACCACATGAAGTTTTTGTTTATTTTGCCCAAAGGTTTCTCAACTTATCAAAGCAAATAGACTTGATGCCAGTTGCATGAAACTGAACAATTACAAGGTAGTGTACAATATACCTTTCCATTTACGGGGTGTAAAAGGGTCAAATATTAACTTTTTGAAGGGTGGATGACAAGTGATGTACAAAGGCTTTTTTTCAGCCTCAAGATGGAACAGTTTGGTTCACCGGAGTTTTTCTTAACTATTCAAGGAAGGTGGAAAAAGTGAGATTTCACATATTTCTCTGAGCTTCAAATATATTCCAGTCATGAACAATTATTAGAACAAGTATTAGCATTTCATCCAATCCCAAGATACTTAGTCATCTCATTCTTTAATTTGCTTCTAACCTCAACTCCAGACCATACACTATTTAGCTTGACAATTGGGCACAACAAGTTAGTGATACAGCACTTTTTACCACCAGCATTCCTGGATGATCTATTTTCATAGTTGTATTTTACTGTTATTTGAGCATGTGTATTTGTCTTTCTCTTTCAGGAATTACAGGCCAAGACAGAGCAAATATGTGAAATGGCTGCTGTTATGGTACAAGCAATCTACATAGATGATGAAGCTATTCAACAGGAGCAAGAAAAAATGGCTTCTATTGAGTCAGAAAACAGAGGCCTGAGAGAATTGTTAAAGATTAGTGGAATACCATATCCTGAAACAACAGGAAATGAAGAGAAAGCTTTGCCTGATGCCCAGCCAGACAGTCAGGAAACTTCTGCAGATTGATTGATTTTTTATTGTATTGTTGGCTGTGATCTAGGCTTTCAGGTGTTGTAAAAACATATTTAGATTTCCCTTGATTGAAAATACAGATGCACATGTAATATGCAGACTGTGAAAATGCAATGAAAGAAATTCAGTGATGGAGTGAAATCTTAGTCTC